GCAACGCTCTATGATTACATTCTCACCCTAGTTTGCGAAAACTAACGTATAATTCCATGTCGTTTCTAAATTCGGAAGTAAAAACATCACATGAAGTTCAAGATCAGATTGAGATAAAGTTTTTTTTTGTTTCAAACGTTAAATCTATACTAATATTATAAAGAGGTAAAGTTTGTGATCTTGTGAGTTTGTGACGTTGTAGGGGGTAATCTCTGGATCTACTGAACCGATTTTCAAAATTATTTTACCAATAGAAAGCCACGTTCTTTCTGAGTGTCATAGGCTATATATTAATCCGAAGAATGAAAAGGCTTTTTCATGGTAGTCGGATTTGCAAAGTAAGTCGGAGAAAAAACGGTCGAACGAAAACGTTTCTTACGAACGTAGCCTTAACGATGAGAGATATATGATTATGTTCTAGAGAAAAGTTGTAGAGCTTAATAATGCCTACAAAAAAGTCAGCGACAGCATATGTCTAACTTTTATATTTAAGTCACAAAAAGTAGTTTTTTATATTAAAAAACTCATTTAAATCGGTAGGTCATGTTTATTGGTCATATTATCAACAATTATGAATTCTTATCAAAATAAGTAAATTTATCGTCTAAAATGCTTAAAACAACTAATAACGACTTAACGACGACTAAGACTTTTCCCTTTTACTGCATATAATTTGGACAAATGGTTAAAGAGATAATACAACATATTCGCAGGTATGGACGAACCCGAGCGAGCTGTTAGTCTGTTTTCCTGTTTGTACAGGCTAATCTCCGAATCTATAGGACCGATTTAAATGAAATTTTGCGTGGTGGTACCTTATATCCCCGGGCAACATCTTAGATACTTTTCATCCCGGAAAATTAAAGAGTTCCCGTGGGATAGTTAAAAAACTATAACAACTTATATAGTTTAGTACACAAAAACTACTGATTGGATTTTAATGAAACTTTAAAATAATACAGTTCGTACATGACAAAATCAAATCAGCTACTTTTCATCCCGGAAAATTAAAGAGTTTCCGTGGGATAGTCAAAAAACTATAGTAACTTATACAGCTTAGTACACAACAACTTATGCACCTAATTTAGTAAAATTTGGCATGCTGATACCTCATATTGCCGGTCAAACAACAGGTTACTTTTCATCCCGGAAAAATGAACGGTTCCCGTGGGCTAAATCTGATTGTGCTTTTCTAGAGGCGAACCCGAGCGAAGCGAGGGTGAGCCGCTAGTTGTATTAATATATATAAAAAATTTTTTCGAAAAGGCCATGCGATAATAAAAAGGACACCGGACAGGCAACCAAGTTTCTCTTATTCTATTCGGCTTGTAATTTCGGTTCTTATGTTGTCTATTTCGTTCTCACAGGCAAGAGGTAGGATCCCTGAAGTCTCTAGAGGGATGTTACTGAGTGATGATAAATATCTCTGTGTGTCTACCATCTGTATAAAAAAATGTGTTCTTATAAACTTCCCTACCCGGTGGACGACCGTCACGTTTTATCATTTTTATTAGGTTAATTATATGGTGCCAGGTGTAATTTACATATTTAAAATATACTTGATGGCTATTTATACAAATTTCATTATCCTTAGACCCTTTTAACGTCCTAGTAGTGCGCAGTGGCTTCCTTTAAATGTGCAGGGGATCAGGGAGTAGTCCACTACTCTTGATAAGTGGAGTTTAACGGATTTCACATCTCTTTCGAAAACCGTTAGGTCACTGCAGTGGTTATGTTGGAAATGGTTTGCAAATAAAAATGTCAGACGTTCGAGAACTGAGATTTAAATCCACTTAGCGAGCGCGTACTACCGGGCTGTCGGCTGTCGCTTGCCAATGTCTTATTTAAATAAGATTATTATTGATAAAGATAAAAATCCCATTTCAGTAAGGACTATATTAATATGAACCATGCAAATATATCTAGATAATGAAGTGAAGTTGTTGCGCCACTTCGTCGTAGTCCTCAACTTTATTATCTATCACCTTTTGAATTATAAACATTTTGGTTGACACTGACAGAACTTAATATTTAAGGTACCTAGTCCTGCCGCGGTGCGAGACGCGAGTACATAATCTACACAGGTACAGCGCTGTGAAATAAATTGTGTTACGCGACACGAGACTGTTAGACTGGCATTAAGACGAGCTGACAGCGTAATAGCTTCGTTATAGGATCTTCAAGTGATTGATAATAGAGTATTTATTATGATTTATTGCTTGGTATAGTATGTGACTAGAACATGCAGTGAACAATGTCGTGGAGCACATTTACAAAATTTTATTATAATTAATAATTACATTTCTATTTCTGGCGTAATTAAGTAACGACCATCCTTCCATCCAAACTTTCGCATTTATAATATTATTAATTAACTAGCGACTTACCCTCGCTTCGCTCGGTGTGTCCTGTAAGTTAAGTAGCACTTACGCAAGTTAACGTTAAATACACGGATTTTGATCGCAATTTGATGGGTTTTAAACGTTTGCGTGGAACTCTTAATCTTTTTTCTTAAATAAAAATAGTCTAAGTTACTCCTTATAACATCAGCTATCTGTCAGTAAAAGTCCCGACAAAATCGGTCCAGCCGTTTCGGAGGTTAGCCGGAACAAACAGACAGCCAAATTTTTATAAAATTGTTTTTAAAGTTATACTTCTTTTGGCATGTTTGGAAAATATTATAAGAGAAAAAAAAAGATGCCGCGACAGCCAAAAAGTGACATGATGAAGTTAGCTGCATTCTTTTTACAGTCAGAGAATTGTGACATACGGGATGAAATCAAATCTTTAGCTATTTTTTCTGTTACGCTAAAGAAGTATAACTTCTTACGTGCGTTATGCGTACATAAGTCCACACACATGTTTTTTTAATTATGTATATGTACCGTACTTATATACTTTCATATGTATAATTATAATGTAATATAGTGTAAAAGCTGTTATTTTGACATTACAGACTGACAGAATTTTATTTATCTGTAGGTATAGCTATAGATTAATTAATTAATAATTAATGGGAATAATATTAATGGTATTATAACATAAAGTAGTAGCGCTAGCGTTTTATCTTGCTTCAACATTTTCTCTATGTAAAACATAATATCTTTTCCATTTGGCCAGCTCAGAAAATTATATAGAGAAAAAACTATAAAACATGTTATTTCATGAATTTAAGGTTCATTTATTTGTAGATCTATGATTAATATATAGCCTGAATTTTTTAAGTCCTAGTGTCGCACAGGGAAGCTAGTATTTTAGTCTAGTAGCGAGTAATTTAGTAGCTAAATTACTCGCTACTCACCAAAAATCGTCGGGAATGCACTTTACGGAGTACCAGATCCCCAGTGAGTGGTGTTTTTGCAAGATGAACAGCCGGTACTACCCACTAAAACTGATTAATCCCTTCATATGCTTAGTGGGACGCCGCAGGAATATTCGCGCACAAGCTATTCGTGCGCCCTGGCGAAACAAATTTAAAAGTCATTTCTTCGCTCCAGCGAAACGACATCATGGCGGCAACTATGCTCGACTAACTCTGCTACGTCAGTTCGTACTTGTTTAGCAGCCCCATAAACCAGTGAAACACCGCCCACCGAAGTGGGCTGCTACTCGCCCAAAAAAATAGAATCAAAGGGAGACTCGACTAAATTACTTACTAAACTAATCGACTAAATTTTTAGTGTTCAGACACGATTAGTTACTAAATTACTCGCTACTAGACTAAAATACTAGCTTAATGCGAACTAGGCTTTAAGGAGGCTGGAGGATATTCAGTATTACTTACACGCGACGTGACCCGATATCTATCTAGGAAATTAGTGACCTGATACCATTATTTCACTAGTAGGATTCTATTATGTACCTTATGCCGTGTATTCTAAGATCTAAAACTGATATCTTTAGATAGTGCGGTGAATTAATTTATTTTGCACATAGGTAGGTACGGTCTATAGATGAGTCATAAGATTTATGTTTGTGTAAGTTTTATTTTTAACCGCCACCTGGGGACGCCGCCCGGTAGGAGGTTCCTCAATTCGTCGGCAACCCTGGCTTGAGAAACGTGCAGAGCTGATGGCTCGAAGACAACCTGAACAAGATATTAGAAGGGATTTTTTTTTGTTTCGAAAACTTCACAGGTGGTCCCATTTAAATTTCATCGAAATATCGATATTTTTTATTAAAAAAATTCTAAATTGTATTTTATGTGTTTTATGTGTTGACTCCAGAAAGCGGAGAATTGAACTTATTAAAAATCTTTCTTCTACAAAACTGGTCGACGTAGCTACGTCCGACCTAAAAATTGGAAACCCATGAAAACTAAAAAATAATTTTCCATGTGTACTTCCAGGCATTTTAAAATGTAACAAATAACTAAACAGTGGTTTTCTTTTAGCATAGAAAATTACCCTAATAATATTTTCGAAGTCGGTGCACTAACAAAAGGGCTGAGGAATAGAAAAAACCTATAGGAATTTTTTCTTCTTCTTAATTCTTAGCGCATACCCTCTCTCATGTGCATTAACACACAGCAACTTTGATTCCATGGTAAGCTTTCTCTGTGTTATGGATACAATGATACAATAAACTTTTATAACTTTGAAATACATACTTATAAATATAAATTCACTCATTCTTGAATATTCATTATACATTGACGCGTTCTCTTTATATACTCACAAATGAATACCCCCAGCGGGACTCGATTCTCGATTCTCGATATATTCGACTCGACAATCTTTTCATGCGCATATACATACTTATAAATATTTCTTAGAGAAATGTAAATATTGTTTTTTTCAATTTGTAATTACGCCTTAATTTTGAAGAAACATTAAAAAATATGTGAAAATGTGAAAAATAATAATATATAATTTTGTATATTATATTTCATTAATATATTTTTGATGACAATGTCGATAGAAAATGCGGTATTTAAGTTTGGAAAGTTTAGGGATTATAATATTTTTTTTAATTAATAAAAAAATGTTTTAAATCATCTACCAAATATATCTTAGATGTGCTGGGTGAACTGAGCGCGAGGGTGCAGGGCCGGCGCCGGGCGTGTCGCCCTCGCCGCCCTCGCCGCTATAGATGAGTCAGTGATTTATGAGGTAAGGTTCCTTTATTTTTAATCGACTTCGGAGGAGGAGTTCTAAATTCCTCACTTTCTTAAATCATTATCTTAATATAATTTCACCGATTATTAAATTTACGCCTGAACCGATTCGGACTTATAAAAAAAATTTTTTTGACATAATTCGAGGGTATATTAATTTTGGTGATACTTCACAGGTGGTCCCATTTAAATGATTGGCGTTTCCTTGATTATTCGAGCAGTTATTTTTTATTCCAAGCAGTAATAAAATATTTTTGTAAATAAAATAATATGTAATTAGTTGTATAAAATCTGTAATACCTACTAAAAATCTTTCTTCTAAAAATTACCTGCTTGATCTTTAACGTCCACATATAAAATAAATAAATGTATAGATTTCAAAGCAATGAAATAAACTTTTAGGCGTTATGACTTCTCGTTAATTATCTGTAAAAATTCAAACTAAGCGGTTTTCATTTAGCATAGATACCTAATCAGATATTTTCGAAGTCGGTGCACTAACTAAACCACTGAATAATGACCGCTATAGGGAATCGAAGCCCAGTCTTCTCGTAGCGCCACTACCAACAGTTTCTCACTGTGCCACCTGCACTTTGATTGGCTTGAAAAGCTTTTCTCTGTTAAATACATTGACAATAAACTTTTATTATTTGAAATGTTCTGACTTCTAGGAAAAAGGCTAATTCAGTATTCTTGAATCCATTTTTTTACATCTGATGATATTTCTGTACCGAACTACTTACAATTAGATACATTAGGTACTAATTTCGGGAAGAGATATATTATTTTTCTACTTGGGAGCGCATATCAAGTATTACGTAACGCAATATTTCTTAAGACTTTTAATAAAACGTAATACGATGCGTTACTATAGTATTACGATTAATTTTACAACACGTTACGTAACATTATTGATGATAAAAAAAATAATAATATACTCCCAAATTTTGGCAACCCTTATATTTCATTAACGTTTGATGACAATCTCTCGATAGATTAAATGCTGGTATTTAATTTGGAAAGTTTAGGGATGTTGGTAATACCTTTTCGTTTAATATTTCACGGGAAAGATTGTATTAAATCATCTACCAAATAATGTTGTTGGGTTTTGCTGTCAGTATTCGCGAGGTGCAGGCCGGCAAATTGCCGGGCGTGTCGCTCGCCCTCAAAGCCTGAGTCACACCCACTCCACAGTGTTCATACTGATCGGCGGCGGGCGAAGCGCAGATTTGTATCATCCGTCATTTATTACGGATTCTATAAAGGCTCTCATGCTGACTTGCCAGCGCAAGTATCTTAATATAATTTGCCAATGAAATTTACCTACATACAAGAGACACTAAAAAACAAAGAAAATTTTTTTGAACATAATTAAATGTATGTATTTGGTGTTACTGAGGTTTTAACCACGAAGAAGAAGCGTTTCAATGCTGCATTCCATTTGACGTCTTCGTCTGCACTCCAAGCAGTGATAAGAATCTGAGTGGCTAGCAAATAAAATATATGTAATTTCAATCGAATTTTTTTATAGACCTACTATAGATACTGGTTAATAAATTGATTTATTTTTTAAAATTTTGTTAAAAATAAATAAATGTATATTTCGAGTAAAATGTTTAAATTTCAGTTAGGCGTTATGACTTCTCGTTAATTGCATTGCCAAAGGTTAAAAGCGGCCTAAGCGGTTATTTTACGTTTGTAAGAATTCGCTATTCTAGTACGCCTAGTACTTTCGCCGTAATGAAGGAGAAAAACAATATTTTTTTGTAGTAAGCCAAGATAATGTTATAAAAAAATAAACACACTACCAGGTGTTGCGATTAAAATCTCTTGTTTTATTATAAGGCAATTAAAACTATACGAAGGATAAAAACTATAACAACTTTTTGCGACTTCAGGGTAAAAACTGATGACTTGAGTGTTACTGCGTCTTTTAGATCAGGGGGTGGGGGGGTCTGAGATATTTCTGTACCGAACTACATCACATTTAGTACACAATAATTTCGGGAAGAGATTTTATTTTTCTTACTTGTGCTTCGATAATAATTAAATTTTATTATATAAAACGAAAAATATATATAGCTAATACCGATGTAAATGAGTTTTTGTAAAAGTCAAAACTCATTAAATAATTGAACTGTATCTTTCTAATACTTTATTAATACATAGATGTTTTATCAAATTGAATTTGTTTACTGCTGTCTGTACTTAAATAGGGCTCGTCAAAAACATTCACGCTATGAGAAATTGCACGCATGTTTCTCGGCATTTTTGTCGAGTCTGACACCCTCACGGCTCGTTTGGTCTACGTGCGAATAAAAACTGTTGAATATCTCAAAAAAATAATTATAGAGCTAAAATGAACTGCCTTGTGACAAAAAGAAGTTATAGCATATCTGTCTGTTCGTCTGTATCTCCTATCCTTGTATGTTATTACTTATTTAGCTATATATTTTACTAACTTTAGCGCTCCACTATATTAAGGAGCTTACATCGGCCTACACTAGGACATATACAGAAATTACTTTTCATGACATAAACTCAAATACCTCCACTAACATTATTTAACTTAATCGACTGCTTGAAAACGACGCACTATAACCTTTTAGGATAACAAATACTGAATCCACTAAATAATACTTATTTGTAAGTTTTTATTTAGTAAATACTATTTTTAATATGCAATATCCAGCGCTGCTTTCTATTGCACATATTAAATAAGCTCAACATATATCTAGCTACGACCACGCTAAGCCACGATCAGCGTCTACAATTTCCGTTTCTTGGAAAAGAAATTTATTTCTATCAGCAAGTACACTATATATATGTCTACACAACATTACATCGTCCTTACTTAGATACTATTGGTAAAGCGCTCTGCTTTATACATATACACTGACTACACATTACAAAATAATAAATATAATAATAAATAAACAATATAAATAAATATATTGGGACATTAACACACAGCACCATCTCGTTCCATAGTAAGCTACGAGGCTTGTGTTATGGATACTAGATAGTTGATATACACTACACATATATAACTTTAAATACATACATATTATAAATATAAACACCCATGACTGGAGTACAAACATTTGTGCTCATCACACAAATGCCCCCAGCGGGAACCGAATCCGCGACCGCTGGCACAGCAAGTAGGGTCACTACAAACTGAGCCAGGCGTGTCGTCAGATTATAGAGTAGCTTAGGTCAATCAATAAAGATATTAGTTAAAATACAATATACTACATAATGAAACTGTCTATTGCTCGTTAGTCGTAAGCTTCAAAAGACAAAATCGCAATTCTGGGTGAGTCAACCATAAGGACGATAATTATTTAAAACTTTAACTTGCAGCGTCACGCTTGCTTCTATTCATACTCGTACTCGTAGCTTCTACGACGAAGATATATTAATTTCCTTCAGCCATACGCCCCTAGCCTTGTGCTACTCGCTGAACGAGGGATTCATTAAAATTAAGTATTTGATTTGTTGATGTAATTCTTACGGACTCTCTAAATAGTTTTATTTCTTTAACACATAGGCTAGTAGGCTACTATAATTAAATAAGTAACATTTTTTTAAAAGTGGCGCGTATGAGATATAATGTACGAGTATACCTATATAAATACTATATAAATAGGCCAAAACAAAACAGATTAGTATAGTAGCCTTTTCTTCTCTGTTTCTCGACCGATATGTTTTGTTTAGTAGTTTGTGTTGTCTATAATATTTTTTTTGAAACAGTAGATTTTTTTTATAGATATAGTATAGCTAAATTTTATTCAAATATTATATTATTCTCAAATTTTCAATAATGGTAATGAACGCATTTCAACCACTAAGCAAACACTAGTCTACATAAAGCAACGTACCTACTTAACATCGCTACTTAAACCTCTATAATATCTATTACATACATTAATTTGTTTTACTAAATATTTGAATGACATCACTACATATTTTAGATCAAGGTCGATAATTTTTGAAACCAAAATTAAAAGGAAGAAAATATAACAAAAATGAAAAGAAAACTAATTCGATCGATCTATCGAATCGATCTGAGGTCGGGAAGGGGGAGGGGGTGAGTTTTTAAGGGTAAAAATCGGCTTATCTCGATTTCAGGCAAACTACAAGTCCTATGGAAAAAAGTTAAATGGCAAAGTTGTAGGTAATAAAAAGATCTACAACTTTTATATTTACACTTTTTTCACATAACCTGAAAATTATTGTGAAAAATTCAAATTACCATGTTTTTGGTTTTTTATTTTTCTTTTACAAAAAAAAATGCTCACCAAATTTAGTGACCCAAACATGCTGTAATTTTTTTGATTTAAAATATTTATTTTTTTACCTTATTTTGACTTAATATCGAAAAAGAACCTTAATTTTCAATCAAAAATTCTCGCGTCAAAATATCTGGTTTTTAAAAAAAGTCGGTGAGCTTTTTGTTCTTTGAAATGGCTTCTTTCTGATGGTTTAAAAAATACACATTATTATGGTAAATTTTCTCAGAAAATGCAAAAAGTATAGGCCAGACCCTTCTAGCCCCTTCCCCACATCTCTATGAAATGATGGGATGATAAATAGATCCATTAAACTGTAGTAATGCTATATGTACGTGAGTAGAGACCTACCCGAGTGACGCAAGGGAAAGTCGCTAGAATAAACTAATTTAGAAAGTACATGTGCTAGACAAAGAGAGCTCGTCCCAGCGACCCGCCCGCGCCGGACGCCAGCGAGCGTCCTTTCTGCTGTAATTAATTGTCAGCCTCTCGTGAGTGCTGCTTCATTTATTCAATATCACACTCTATTTATATAAAAAGTAAGGCAACCACTATGGCATCATACTGATTACTTAAATTGACTAAAAAGTTTATGCGGTTCGAGTTGTTTTCGATCTTCATGTATCAACTATCAAGTTACTTAGTTAACTATAAAGGATTGCAAAAGATTATATATAGAAGTGCTTAGGATTATCCTTTTCCATTTACGCGTCTTTCCGGTTCAAAGTAGTTCAATTTCTAACCAATAAAAACACTACACGAGGGTCCGAGTGTGTTGTGTGACGTATGTCCACTTGTCCGGACGCGACCATCCTGAAGTAATTAATTGCAACATTGCTACTCCGCCTCTCGTGCGGTGACGCGTCTATCTGCATTTTCCACAATAGTCAAGCTTGTTTGCTTTTGTTTCATGTATTTTAAATATATATAAAGATTTGTCAATTGAAACGACAAAATAATTAAATATATTAGGCGGCTGTAGCATATTAACATACGAGTATATAATATATATAATATATACAGATAGGCCAATATCATCTTACTGTATTAAATTAATAGTAGATAATTAAGTTGTACGAAGAGAGCGCACGGCGAGTGGGGCCGGGGGAGGCGCGGGAAGGAAAGCGGAGAGGGTGGGGATGCGACCGGAAGTATCGCCCCAGAGCTTCATTGGGTTAACGGAAACTTTCGAGAAACTCGCATTTTCAACTTTAGCTGCATGTTCGATATTAACAGTAACTTGTAACAAGCTTGCAATTGCAAATTGCAATATAACGTTATAGTTCTTATAACATGTGTAAGTTTATATAAGACTATCAACGGTAACTGCTAACTTATATTAAGTTATATAAAATTAAACCAAACACGTAGGCGGAGCCACAATTAATATAAAATCCAGAAGTAGTTTCACTACGATACTCACAGTGCGATCTCGCACTCGGACGGCGGCCATCAATCTGCCAATATTTACACAGGTCCGGCGTGAGGCGTCCCGCTCGATCAGCCTTGACCCGACTTTACAAAACCCCCGCGCGAGCTTTCCCGAATCGCCTTGTCTAGCTAAATTGAAATTCCTCAGAGCAAGAATTTATCTTTTATTTATTGTTTGGAAAGATTGCAATGTATGTTATTTTAATTATTGCACTTAGGTATATTCTTTCTTGTAAGAACTTTAAAATGTAATAGAAAACTTTAATAATTAGGAATGTGAATGTTTTTATAATAAATATCAAGATACGATTGTTTCATCAAGTCCTTAAGAAAGACTGAGAATTTTAACTGTCTGTATAAAATTATGCCATGTAGGTCGCTTCGCGGAAATTTTAAGAACCGAAGACAATGCCGCAGCTACAACCAACCCTACAAACTGTGCAGGCATTCAACTTCAACACAGGGCATACGTTTATTTACTTGTTCTAACCACATAAATTCTAAGTCCTTAATGACTTATGATCCTGCACCGTTGCACGTTATTGATAGGGAGGGTATTCCCACTTTACCTACTGCATCTAGTAAGGCGTAAAGGCGGCCTACAAGGCGGATTAATCGTGTGTGACTTGGGATGCCACCAAGTTTTATTTGGTAATATAGACTCTTTTAGCTGACGAGACCCACATCTTTCTGCTAGAGGCTAGGAGCTTTGCAGTGATAAAAAACCCTCTAAAACCCTTAATGCATGCACCTGTCATGCATGCACATGTCTGGAAAGGCGGAGAAAATTGCTATATTGTCTCTATTGCTAAAGATGAATATCATCATCACATTAATATATACATAAAATGCTTTGTCCTGACTGACTGATCGCTCAACGCACAGCCGAAACGCTGGTCGTAGAAACGTGAAATTTGGAGGACATATAATAATACGCTAAGAAAGGATTTTTCGAAATTCATTCACTAAGGGGGTAAAATAGGGGATAAAAGATTGTATTCAACTCTGTCATTCTTAACGCAAAATGCTCGGGAAGTGGTATTTAGGTTTAAGATGAAAAATAAGAAATATATGTATTAGATTTTTTTCGAAATTCATCCCTCAAAAGGGTAAAACGGGGTAATAAAGTTTATATGAGAAAACAATTATTTATGATCAGAATTACCTAAAACTTGGTATTAATGCTCTTCGATACAATTAAATAAACATGTATTATAGAATTTTTCAAAATTCAGCTCCAAAAAGTGGGTAAAACTGGGCGGTGAAAATTGATTTTTTGAATATATTTAAACAGAGTAATATGGCTCAAGTTCTTTGTAAATGCACACCTACTGTGTGGGATATACAATAGAGAACGGAAATTATTCCGAATCTAAAGAAAATTATGTTTATTATTTCGGCTGGCCAAAGTAGTGCAGACAACTATAACAGACCTAGAGCGCGAGAGAAAGAACCTAGCTAGAAAGTATCTCGCTCTCTACATCCTCCTTCTGAAGTTTGGTACATCTGCAATAAAAAAGTCACCTAAGCTATGTAACGGGATTAGACTGATTCATTATATAGTGGCCACTATGTGTGCTGGATGTGCTCGGGGGGAATCAGAATTCATACCTCGAATACCATTGATAACTTCTGACTACGCCTTTGAATTTAATCTATTGTAATTCCTTCTTAAAGCTTGCTTTGCAATGACCTTTTATATATTTCGGGGCCAGTCCTTAAAAGTAGCAGGCATAGACTTAAGAGAGTACTCTTTTCCTCTAACTTTGGAAAGATGGAGTAGACAAATGTGCAAAAAATACAGGTAGTGGAACTTGCTAAATACCTAAAGTGTAAATTGATTTACAGAATATACGCTTAACATCTTTTAAGATACTGGATATTTTGAGTTTCGAGTACAATAGCTAAAATTAAATTTGTTTTCCATATATCTTTGAGAAATGATAAAACTTACACGAACTTATTTTTGCAAATAATAAAGTATGTATTGCGAAAAAGTTTATTTTTTTCGTAGTTCGATCGCCCGGCCGCGGGTTCTGCTAGTTCTATTATATTTCCCCTGTCCCCTGAAGTTGAAGTGTTGTCACAGAGATGGTGATCTACACGACGATAACCCCGGAGATGAGCGAGGCGGTGGTGCGGCACCTGCGGGACAGCTTCTTTGCGGACGAGCCGCTAAACAAGGCCGTGGGGCTGTGCGCGCGCGGGCAGCCGCACGCCGCGCTCGAGCGCCTCTGCGCCGCCACCATGGCCGACGGCCTCTCCATTGCCGCCCTCGAGGACGATACGGTAACTTTTATGTTTTAATCATGTAAACCGAGAAATTTACCATGTTTTCCCGATATTTCATCATTGTTTCAAGCAGTTACGTGTATACGCGTCAGTATAACTTATTATAAAAGATATTTAAAGGACCAAGTAACTTGGATTTGTTTGTACAGAAAGTCTTCTGATAGTGTAAAACTCATTAGAAAAGGATTTTGTAAAGATTACCATTAAGTTTAAATTAATTACTTACACGTTGTAGATTTGTGTTTTAATGAAAGTGGTGTTGAAGCCGACCTTGCCTCATATTCAAGATCAATCGCGAGACTGGTGATAAATTGTAGGTTGTGGTAGTTTGAAAGAAAAACCCACACTTGTAGGCATATTTAAGATTTCGGATAATAGAGAAGTTTATTTTAACATTTTTATTTTAAACCTATAAGTTTATTCTAACGTTTGACAAAACCACAGGACGCACTTGGAGTCTGAGATTTTGATTGTGAGTGTCATGAGACAGAAGTGGAAACTGCACACACTATGACTTTACATAATATCTCAATATACTCTTAAATGTAATGTGTAATGAGTTTGTACGTAGATTAATTTCTGCGGTGTACAAATAAGATAAGAGGTATAATTGAGCTTTTTCCGCAGTGTAAAGACCAATGACACAGTACTATAAGTTAACCCAAATATGGATACTCTACACTATACTGTAGAGCGCAAGAAACAAACACAAACTTATAACAGCCACTCCGTTACTCAGAGTTAGTTATTCTTTTTAAGAAGAATGTCTACGTTTGTGTACAATTAGGTACAATAGGGTCAAGACAACGTTTAAAACTTTAGGTATATTACTAGATATTAAAAATAGCTAAAATATTTGTGTGCTAATGGATGTACTTAATGATTGATCGATGATGAGAAAACAAGCTACCCTGAAAGAGCTCGACTAAAGACTATTGAAATTGACACTATGGTAGTTGTCCGCAACAGGTGGAGACAACTCATGTTAGTTCATAATGATGTTTGCATTAGTTTCCAGTAGTAACAATATATTATGCATATAAAATTTCACCCTTTGCTCATTAGTATTCTATATGCTGTGTTTATATGTACGTGTAGAATTTAATGACTGTTATACGAAAATGTGGGTTCATAAGGATTAAGGAATAAAATAGACAAAGAAAACAAAGGATTTTTAAAAATAGATATATTCTAAAGTGAACGTAGAAGCTTTTAAAGAAGTTTGGCAGTTTACAAGTTCGAAATCTGAAAATTGATTTTTAAGTTCGCTGTGGATATAATAGTGTGGAAAACGTTTGTAACGTTGCAGGTGTTGGGCGTGGCGCTGAATGGCATCTTGTGACCCGGGGACCTAGAGCAGTCCATTGAGAAGATCAAGCAATCCTCCGACGAAAAATATAACAAGGTAATTTATATTGGGTTCTTTTCGGGTCTCGCACCTGTAATATTTTCATGTATGAAATATTTTCTTAGAAGAATATTTCACATTTAAATTAAAACTATCTTCTTGGATTTTTCTCTCTTCGACACATCGGGTACTAAATAAAATAACTAACAAAATAAATAATTAATTCGTGAAAAATCCGATATGATAGTTTTATGATTACCAGTAGGTCGCCTTATGGTGAAAGAAAACATTGCGAGGAAACTTTCACGTATGAGAGAACCTGGCTAGTTTTCGGAAGACATATGAAGTCCCCCAACCAGCATTTGGCGAGCGTGATGGACTACGACCTGATTTCTCGCATTGAGGGGAGGCTGATGCCCAGCTGTGATATAAATTATAATTCACTTTGGTCTCCCAGATCTTCAACATCCTGTACACAGTGAGCCGCGACCTGGATCTGTTCAACACGTTCCAAGTGGATCGTATACTGGAGTGCCGCATCATCTCGGTGTCGGAGGCGGCGCGCGGGCGCGGCATCGCGCGCGAGCTCATGAAGAGGAGCATCGAGATAGCCATGGAGCACGGCTTCAAGGTACGAGGGCGCCACGCGGCTAACATATACCCATAGTAGTGAGGCCGATACGTACAACGTATTTATTCTAAATCTAATTAATAATTAATTAATCGGTATAGGTGTTATATACGTTATTCATATGAATTGGATAAATCAAGACAGGATTTTGAAATGTTAATATGTATGATGTGACTTATCTTATCCAGCTAAATATTACTCTATAGTACTATATGTAGATTGTGTCATGTGAATGATATCAAGACACGCGGTAGCGTGTCCAGCCAAGTTCAAGCCAAAGGAACTGGCGACGCAGCATCGTGTGTATACATAAACCATCTGGGGCCACTTTTCATCTCGTAATAACTCAAAACCTATTTAACGTAAATGTAAGAAACTTGGTTCATTCATTAAATCGCCTTAGATTAACTAGAATCCCCAATTTTATAAATACAGCTCAAACAGTTATTGAGATATTAATGTCTGAAACTCGGTATTTTTATCACTGACTGACATATAGTAGTAAAACCTAACCTACTTCCTGACCTAGAAAGTTGAAATTTGGTGTCCAGATGGGTCTTCGTGTGCATACAAAGGGAAAAATCCGAAAACAGTAAATTTTAAAAATTAAAAAAAATATATTTTTATTAACATCTTGCGCCTTCCAAAACATAATAGCAATAGCTTTACACCTAGTGCCTTTTGAAATATAATAGCAATAGCAATCATAGTAATAGCAATTTTTTTTCTTTCTCAGAAGAAAAGGTTCATGATCATTAAATAACATTTTTCTATTCCGCCTAATCCACAAACGAATGGTCGCAAAATTATGAAAAAAAAGATTGAATTTACATGTCACTTTGGAATTATGAATAATAATAGTTTCTTTACAAAAAGTCATATTATCCCATCAAAAACATAAATGTGAAAATGGGAGCGAAGTTCAATATTAAGAATAAGCGTGGTTGTCAAATTCACCTACAAAAGAATTGAGATCTAAATGCATGCCAAGTTCTGTAGATAATCCTGAATTTTTTTCATAAGAACATACAACATTGTAAAATAAATTTAAAGTTTTTTTCTGCTACAAAAGTGTTTGCTATTTAAAAAAAGAACTTCTTAAATTTAAACAGTCGAATTATTTACACAGAGTAGATAACTTTGGATAAATTGAAATTCAAGATTTGACTTGGCTAGTTTTTACATACGAGTTATCTTATATTCAGCTAATCACATATATCTTCTTTATGCTATACGCAACTTACAATTTTTATATTATAAAGTCAACATGTCTCACTCTTCTAAAAACTTGCTTTACTGGTAAAAACTATACTTAACTACTACCGTCGCGTGTAACCAGAATACTTACTGGTCACTGCAAACTCAATAAACATATGTTTACCCTCGGCCTCAGTCAGACCGCAATGTGCAGACTATGCCATGAGACAGAGGAAACTGCTACGTACATCCTCTGCTCGTGCGGTCCACTCATGCACCGCAGAAGTATCTATCTAGGGCAGCATATTATGCAACCGGAAGAGATACAGATGCTCCCCGCTCAGAAAATCTGGAAGTTCCTGGAGTCAACAGGACTAAGCGGAGAACTTTGAACTCACTATAAAGGGAGCTACAATGGACCAAAACTGGTCGACGTAGCTAGGGCCGACCTCGGCACCACACCCAACATAATAATAATAATAAATACCGTCGCGTACAATGTACATACTCGTACCGCGGGGCGCGTGGCGAGCGTGGTGCGGGCGCACTTGCAGGTTTAATTTCAAACTCTAGTGCTATAAACAAACAATAATTGTAAGTTTGTATTTCACGGGCTGATAACGACATCATATGACCACTCTGCTACTATACGAAATTAATTTAGTTTCAGTTTCAGAGTCTATTTGGATTTAATTTAACTATTTTGAACAACGATAAATATAAAATTTAAATTATATTTTATAATTTTATTCATTGTTATAAATTAACATTAACATTACAAGTAACAATGTTAAAGTTATAATATTCTCTTGATGATGGCGTTGCTCCTTATTGTATGTATCCTACATCGCGCTGGCAAGATTGTCGTATCATAGTCTAAATAGTTATTTAGAGCGCTGCGTAGAGCATCTCTATACGTATAAATCTTTCGCCTTTAACTAAAGATTTCCGTGGAGGGGAACACTCAAATAAGTCTTTCATATATTTTTTGAATGAGGAATGATTTATGAATTAACAAATATTAATTAATAATTAAAAGTAAAAAGTATCCTATACATTGACCTAGGTAGTACAGTGGTTATCTCGTGATGTTCCTAGACATAAGACAAAAATTCTAAGAACTACTAGATTCGGTTTCTGTATCAATAATAATGACTACTTTAACAAGATTTTCCAAAAAATATCCTGGCAGCTGTTCAAGGTGGACGCGACGGGCGCGTTCTCGCAGCGCATCTGCAGTCGGCTGGGCCTGCGCGTGTTGCACAAGCTGCGCTACGCCGAGCTGCGCGCGCTGCGCGTGGCGCCGCCGCACGACGCGCTCGCCGTCATGGCGCTCGAGCTGCCCTAGCCGCCCTTCCCGCCCTACTGCTGCGTCGGGGAACGTTACTTTATTATCATTTTTTTGTAGCAAAATGTCGAAAAATCTGTTTTAATTTATATTGTTTGCTTAGGGATTATATAAATTAAGATTATATAAAAACTACTTTATTTAAAATGTATACAAATTTTAAATTTACATATATGTCTACCATCTACATATATAAGTGTAATGAATTTTAACAATGTCACAGTTTATTAAAAGTGAGTAGTAAATTAATAAAAAAATTAACTTTACACTACACTGTGGTAGAGGACGCGATGAGTAGGTACACCTATTCTCCGCCGTTTTTTTTAACGATAGGAAATGCATTTTATACCATCTGCATACCTACGGGTGGTTATGTGGGACTCACCAGTTAGAAAAGCCAGTATTACCTACGCACTAAAACTCCCCCGTCTTAATGGGGCAGGATCGCTTACGCACTCAACCACGACAACGACAGGTCCGCTGAAGCAGACCACAACAACCTTGGAGATGCTCCAAGAGTCTAGCACGCCGCCCGCCGCGGTGGCTGCTTCCTTGTGCGTCTTGTGATTTCGCGTCCCGCTGGTTTGCCGGACGCTTATGAGTAACCCCCACCCCCTCGTCCAACCCTCCCCTCCCCCTCCCCCACCCCCATCCCCACCTCCACCACGACAAGGTGAACGTGCAATGAGGAACCTACACTCCACCCGCACTATACACTATGTCTACAATTGACACATACTCGTAGCGACTACTGTAACTGCCATATTAAATTTCAACCAATTTATATAACTCTTGTGAAAGTTATTCAGTATTAAAAAATACTTTAGTATTAGAAGTGCACGTAGAGAAGTAACAGATATTCATATTATATTCATGTGTTATAAATGTAAAATGTTTAGAATTTTATCTCTAACGATGATAATAATATGTATGTTAAACAACGACGTGTAACATTTATTAAGTCCGTGTTAGTTTGTTATTTTACCTTTTGTACTTAATACTTATATTATATTTAAATTTATATAATATTCGTGTAGTCGTGCTGCGCAGCACTGTTGTCCAATGTCCATACATCCAGTGTTGAAGGCAAACCTCGGCATCCACATCCTGCTAGAAGTATAATGAAAACTATATGTTAATTCTGCTGTAATTACAGGGACAGGGTACTTCACTTTGTGTCAAGTGCGAGTAGTGTTTCAACAATAATGTCAATGGATTCATTTTGGATATTTAATATTTATTCCTCATGAGAAACATTAATATCAACAAAAGTAACAATATAGTTACAATAGAGTTGTGCAGTCCTTTCGCACAATTACATAAGATTCTTTATCAAGATTATAGAATATAGCTATAACTAGTAATAAGAATGTTTAAATTTTAATAAACTTATAGTATATGCTACTAAAACACTAAAATTTTGTGATTATTTATAAATATTTTAAACATTTTTTCAAGTACCCTGCAAACGTGTTACTATAATTATTATTTTATATAATTAAGTATATATATTATGTATGTATGCTATATGTAGAATACATAACCATATTTTCCAATTAATTATAAGAAAATATATTATATACAGATATGCAGTGTCTCGGGGCATTCGAGGCGAGGTATCCTTCTGGGGTCTAACCCTCGAGTTTGGAGGAGAAAAATGTATACGACAAAATTGTCTGTGTCATCTGGAATCGATCGAGAGAGTATGTACGTGTAATGTGTAGCTAACCGCAGCGACTTATTTACACGTAATTTCACAAATGCTCACGTCTGTTCATCGTATAAGAGTCGGCCAGCGGCGACCCAGCACGTGTCGCGCGGGACTTCGATGTTTACTCTAATACTCGTGATGTATAAGTACATATATAAGAAGAAAGCCGCGATCCGCACAAAATAACTAAATGTTGTCGTAATGATCATTATTATTATTAATGTATGCACAAGTATATTCGAAATTATACTCTAACTTAAATATTACATATTACTATGTTTATGTCTATTACCTAAGTACTTATTCGTGTGTATTCATGAGTGTGGCAACCGCTCGCGGGCAAAATTGTCATTTACGTGGTACACCACTAATATATTATGTTATCAATAATATAAAAAAATACTTGCATGTATAATATTTAATATATATATATATATATATATATATATATATATATATATATATATATATGTGAAATAACTACTAAATTTTCTCGGTCAAAATGATTCACATCATATAAAATGATGAACATTATAAAAAAGATTTCACGAGTTATGATTTGTAGTCGCCACTACATACTCTATGTGAACGCAGGGATGAGGCCACAAGCAAACACACTTGCTCATACTTTCAATATTTTTGTATAGTATTTATACTCTGTCGTTGCAACAAATATTTTCTTATTATCTTTACCAAGTTATTTACAATGTTTTCATAGTTTGTTTACAATATTTATATCTGATATATGGCGATAAATTGAAAGTGTATTTTACAATAAATAAATGAATATATAAAATGTATACACTGTAGTGCTGTCTGTATTAGATGTTGATGTAGACATTTAAACTTGTTGTTGTTGCGTATTACTTACAATAAATTCTATATAGATGTAAAAGTTGCTTTCATTTATGAATTTATTAGTCTTTACAGAGATAGTAACTACAGAACTGGTGTACTGTAAGGTGACTGTTCTCAGCTATGTTTTTGTGTATCCAGGGTCAATTGGATGGTTCTTAGCTATAGTTGGACTAAGTATTGTTAGGTATAGATGACGCTGTTATCGAAATACACCTGTTTTTTTAATTTTCTGACCAAACAGTTTGAAAATTAACATGTCTGTGGCAGGACGTTAGCCGACCGAGACCGCTCGTATCTACGCTATTATTATAAAGAGGGAAAAAGTGTAAGTTTAGAAATAGAGGATAATATCTAAAACTACTACTCCCATTCTTAAGATTCTTTTACTATTGAGCTCCATTACCGCCGAGTGCTAGCGGCTACCTTTTATTCCGATAAAATGTGTTTACTGTCGGGAAGTCATAATAAATTTAATTGAAGTCGAAAAATAGTGGCCTTTGAGATGCTTTATCAGCGTAAATCAATAAAATGTATAACAGGCCCCGAGGGAGGCGCCCGCGTGACACGAAAGTAAGTCGCTAGTATCGTATAAATTAAATTGAAAAGTATTTCCGAATCACTAGTATAAAATAAGTACTATGTCACAGATGGAGCTCACGGGCTATATGATCTTAATCCTTATATCTGTCTATACGGATAAATAAAATTGAAGTGCCTGTTTGTAATGTCAAAATAACAGCTTTTTACTAAATGCATATGAAATTGTATACCTTTTGTTCCGGCTAATCTCCGTAACGGCTAGATTGATTTTAACGGAATTTTCACTTGCAGATAGCTGATGTTATAAGGAGTAACACTTTCATTTTAGAAAAATAATTAGGGTTCCGCTCAAAAAAATAAAAACATACCTAGGGACGCACCAGAGCTCAGCGAGCGTAAGTCTAGTAAGTACTTATATCATATATTGTGCCATTTTGTGGTATTGCCAAACAACATGCCTATTCAATTCTCAAAAACCACTGCAATCTCAAAGCACTTCAAGAGTGGCAATCCACTTCTGGACAAACACACTCTAAAGCGCTAATTAAGGGATATCGCAAAACCTTTACAAAAGAGTTGCTTCAACTCAACAAGTATAAAACCAGTGCGGTAACCAGAATACTTACTGGTCACTGCATACTCAATAAACATATGTTTACCCTCGGCCTCAGTCAAACCGCAATGTGCAGACTATGCCATGAGACAGAGGAAACTGCTATGCACATCCTCTGCTCGTGCGGTCCACTCATGCACCGCAGAAGTATCTATCTAGGGCAGCATATTATGCAACCAAAAGAGATACAGATGCTCCCCGCTCAGAAAATCTGGAAGTTCCTGGAGTCAACAGGACTAAGCGGAGAACTTTGAACTCATTATAAAGGGAGCTACAATGGACCAAAACTGGTCGACGTAGCTAGGGCCGACCTCGGCACCACACCCAACATAAATAATAATAATATATCATATATTGGTTTTAATTAAAAACAAATTTACTGAAATACGACACAAAAAGGCTATACATATATGTACACGGACGAGTATGTATGAAGGCGTGCGTAATGTTCCATCTGGTATTTTGTATAAACTAATTAGGATAGAGTTTTGATTCAAGTTTGGACAGCGCACTCGAATGAAGCGTCGTACAATCGTAGCGATGGTACAGGCAGCGGCAACGGGATGGTCCAACTGGCAACTTGTAAAGTTAATAAATTACTGAATTAAGTTATCAGTTTAAAAAGTAACAAAAGGATGTAAGATTCAGATTCTCCCACCACGTGCGTGGTGTTGTAACGAATTACTCATTTCCGAAGTTACTTTATGAAATTTTTTATAATTAACAGCTTGTTTGTACTTCTTCATTCTTGTATAATCATCTCCCTGCCCATTTACCAAACACTTGGGGTCGGCACAGTACATCTTCTGTACTGCTAATAGAATTTGGCAAAAGTTTTACGACCGGCTGCCTGCCTGACGTCAGCCCTCCTTGGGAATGCTATCATCTCTCTTTGTATGAATGGTATCGCAGAAGTCTTGTAATATGTTATATTGTTTGTTGTTTATTATTGGTTGTTGTAATATTGTTGTATTTTTGTCTTTTAAACTTACATTTTTAATTTTATTTTCGGATATATTTTATTTAAAATACAGGTGCTGTATTTAATATAAACATTAAGTATTATTTACGTCATGTAAATGTCGATAAGATTCAGTATAACATTTATATTCCTAATGGTAAATATTAATATATAAAATTCATTAATATCACACATTTAGAAAATAAAATTAATATTATAATTTTTTAAAGACGGTTTGAGTTCGATTCCTCTAGTTCGATTTCCGCAGGACAACGCTCGTAGTGATCGTATATACATACATATTATTGATCAAAAAAGTGCTACATACACAATCAGCGACAAAAAATGTCGTCACCGAATGAGCGCCCATTTGAACATTTGACAGCACTTTTTTTTGTGGAAACAACTTTAAGCATTGCATTTATGATTCAATTCACATTGGTGTATTGGGGGGCACGGTAGTGCCCCCGCCAAGTCGAGCAAAAAAGGGTACGGCAGTACCATCCTTTTTCGATATTTATTTCATTTAGAATAATTACCTAGACACAATTGGTGAGGGTATTTATATTTTTATACATAATAAATATATTTTATCGTAAATTTTACTATTAAACTCTATCAACTTGATATTTTATAATATAGATTATAATAACTGTTTAGCAAACGTCTACCAAAAAGCTAAAGGAACTTCGTTCCGACCGATAGTCCATAGACCCCTCATTTAATTTTATTATTAATACACTTATTGTACGACTTATACTACTAGTTGTACGCACTAATATTATTTTTATTAGTCTGGCTATTAATTATGAGATTTTTTTTACATTAGGTCCTAACATATGAAATTTGCGTTTTGTCGAACTGGCCATTTTGACCTCAAATATCTGGCGTTTAATTATGAATTCCAAATTTAAATTTATTTTAAATATAAGCTTGTGTATTTGTTTTTGTGATTCATTTTAGTTTAGATCTAGTTCCACCATGGAACGGCAGCGGTAACAGCTCGAAAGATTAATGATTTCTATGGAGAAGCTACTGTAAAAAAACACGGTACGTTTTCGTTATGGAAATTTTGACCTACAGAACAAGTCCCGTGGACCACCGGAAACCCTAGTTGAAAGTAAAGAATTAAAAGTGATGAGTGGAAGTGGATCCATTCCAAACGACGTCAGTGTTAGCGGCAAGCTTCGATTTGAGTCATAAAACAATTTTAATTCAATCGTTACTTGTGGTGAAACATGGATCCTGTACGATAATCGGAAATGCTTATCACAATGGTCAAACTCAGGAGAACCGACCAAATCCTTTTTTTTTTAACGTTGGGAAATGCATTTACGCACGAGGTGTGGGACTCACCGGCAAAGCCAGTACTACCCACTAAAACCCAACAAAACCTTCCCCCGTCTTAATGGGGCGTCGCAGGATCGCTTACGCATTCAACTACGACGCCCCGACGGCAGGTCTGCCAAGGCAGACCACAACGACCATGGGGTTGCTCCAAAGCCCACTCTGCTATCAGAGAAGTACCAGGAGCAACCCGCATGGTACACCGCCCTCCGAAGAGGGCCACCTCCCACTGCCCACTGAAGGTGGCCACCTCCCTGTGTGTTTCTTGGCTTCGCGCCCGGCTGTACTGCCGGGCACTACTGAGCCCCCCCCCCCCCACGACAAGGTGAACGCACGTGGGGGGGGGGGGGAGTGACCGACCAAATCCTACCCCAAGCGAAAGTTGACTCAGAAAAAGGATGGAAAAGTTAGTCGTTAAACAATCGAGACTGGTCAATTGCATGCACCACACACTGCATAACAGACTATCACTAAATTAGCGATTGGAATGTCTACAACATCCACCATACTCCCTGGACCTTGCTCCAACAGATAACTACTTTTTCCGAAATTTGGATAATTTCTTGCAAAGAAAAAAAATTAATTCCGATGAGGCATCCAAAACCATTGAGATTGTATTAATTCTCGCTCCCACAATTTTTTCAGAAAAGGAATCAATGAACTACCTATAATATGGCGAAAGTGCATAGATGGTACATACTTTGATTGATTAAATATAAAATTTCATAATTTTTTTTCTTTTTGCTTTTTCCATGTAAAACGCCAATTTCATATGTCTCATTCAGCCTTTTTTAACGTCCCACTGCTGAACACGGGCCTCCTTTCAATATGGATTAGGTCATAGTCCACCACGCTGGCCAAGTGCGGGTTGGCGAACTTCACATGTCTTTCGAAAACTTGTTCTCTCATACATGAAGTTTTCCTCACAATGTTTTCCTTAACCGCAATTTCATATGTAAGGACATAATATTTATTTGGGTATTTACAAATTTACGACGGCCATCTTTAATTTAGAGCTTTTGAAAGAGAGACAAAATATATACAATGGACACTTTTAATTCTTCTGATACTGTCCAATACCTATAATTATCAAATCGAAACTGTCACCAATCTCAAATGACATAAAGCAATTATGATATTGGGGGTTCTGGGTTTGAAATAAACAATAAGATATAACGAGAAGGCTAAGCCTTCTCAACCGTATTGTAACGTTATCCAAGAACAAATATCAAAATTAGTCGTACAGTAACTGGATTAATAATACACTTCCAATAATAATTTAAAGCAACAACATAAACTAAAATATGTACAAATCTAGAGCGAGTCTCATTGCCGGCATTTCAATAATATAATTATAAAAGAAACTTTTAATGAATGTACTGAACTTTATTCATTACCGTGAATGTAGCCCGCGCTCTTAACTGACGTACACACCACACACGGCACACTGCATACTGCACACTGCATACTGCACACTGCATACTGCACACCACACATGGCACACTACACACCACACACTGCACACTGAGCGCTCGCTGCGCGCGAGCTACGCTGTGACGCTCAACTAATTCTACTTCTATAGTTCAAAGCTATGACTATAGTTGAAAGCGGTACATCGTTTCGAAATCATGATCAGAAATGTTACCTACAGTAATTTTATCATAACTACATGAACAAATATTGAAAAGAATAAACCTATAATTCTCATATTTTATCACCTTTTACAATTACTTAGTAATTAATTATATAGTTTATATTAGGATAACATATTTACGTTTCGAAATTACATACAAATTTATAAGCAAAGCCAATTCGTAGCACGCTCGCTTTGAAAACACAGAGAATAGAACTATTGTCTTGCAACTTCCAAATTTTCAAGTGCGATTATTATTTTTAATATAAATAATAAATAAATAAATATGTTGGGACATTAACACACAGCACCATCTAGTTCCATGGTAAGCTACGAGGCTTTTGTTATGGATACCAGATAGTTGATACACTACACATATTATATAACTTTAAATACGTACACATTATAAATATAAACACCCATGACTGGAATACAAACATTCGTGCTTATCTTGCAAATGAATTCCCCCAGCGGGACTCGAACCCGCGAGCCTTGGTACAGCAAGTACTACAGACTGAGCCAAACGTGTCGTCATGTAATTACTACTTGCTAATCCGGTGAAGGATAACATTGCGAGGAATGTCTGAAAGAATATCGAAAGATCAATGAAGTCTATCATACTACAGTGGACTTTCGTGGTGGACTGTGGCCGGATCCCCCTTGCTTTGAGGTGAGGTCCGTATCGAGGTTAGGACGTTTAAGGAGATACAGAGATTTTGAGTTTAAGAATAAAAGGTAATTTAAAGTGTATCCGCTATATCCATCCACCACTTGGTATTCTATTAGCATTATAGTATTGGTAGGCCTGAATAAAGAAAGGGTGGGTCACTAGTATATTGTAAAAGAACAAAAGTAGCGAGTGCGCGGCTCGCGAGGCGCCGCACCGTCGCGGCCGGGACGCGACACATAATTGGGAGTCTGCCAGGCATTGATTGAGCGCTCCCACGACAGACTACGTGACGCCGTGCTCGTGTTATCTAACCGCGGCTCTGCCCGGCGCCCGCAGCCCGCGCCCGGAGCCCGGCGCCCGCGCTTAGCCATCACTAATTGCTTTACGTAATGCTACAACCTGTTATGTTTATCATTAACTTAGTTTTTAGACAACAAATTATATACAGTTATTAGTACGTCTAAATAAAAAGGAAATAGGTAGAACATATCAAAAACGTAAAAATATAAAACAATATATATAATACGATATAAAAAATATGATTAAATTTGACAAAAGCGGGGCGGAGCGGGTACGATTGGGCGCGGCAGACGACCTGAAGTTGTAATAAATGTAATGTTCCATTTTATTAAGAAAGTACTAAAATAATTATAGTAATAATCTAATATAAAATCCGATTATTGTTCATCCTCATTGTGCTATTATTAGAGCTCCTCGACAAAAATAAATTCCATTACATATTGAGATTTAGAAATAACATTGGTCCTAGAATATATGTATGTATGTAATTTGATGTATGAATTGATATCAAACTATTATGACAGATCTAAGAATAAACATTCGATCCTGCTACAGTTAAAAATATTAAATTAAAGAAACGTTTTATATATGTATATTATTATCATTATTAATTTGATTTGACATATTATGAATACAATAGTAGATACAGCCCGCGGCCTCGCACGTGTGTGTGTCTCTACTTTTCAAAGCTGTAAGATTCCTTTTAGTAGGAGATCCCGTTCTATGTGGTGAACCCCTTACGCTTTTTCCAGGCGACATATATATTTTTGACATTAAAATATATTAACAAACACGACCCTTGGGAGTTGTTGCCAAAAATTTGCTCCAGGCAATACATATTTCACTTAAGTGGTAAGCCGCAGATTTGCTTAGCATGGTTACAAATATATCATCAAAATGGCAGAAATAAGAGTTTCATCAATAAGTCAAATTTCTTGATACAAAATATATATGACAACCCCTTCTTTTCTATAATACCTAACTATAATGTTTGATTTAAAAAAAATATATTAAAAACGAATATGATTGGCGTCAGTCAACATTGCATTCTACGTCCGTGATAAAGAAAAAAAAATCAAAAATATTTATTAGCTTGATTCCCTATACAAACTTTCATTGCCATTTTTACCCCCATAAGGAATGATATCTGGTATAAAAAATTTCGTATGTCATTCCCAGGATCTTAAAGTATCAGAAGTATCTCCTTACCAAATTTCATTTAAATCGATGCAGTAGATCCAGAGATTACCCCCTACAACGTCACAAACACACAAACTTTACCTCTTTATAATATTACTATTATAGATTATACGAAAACAAGTGAATAATAAAGAGATTCTATCGTCGAATTCAAAAAAAATGGTAAAAAACGTTTGTGTGCTAAAGGTTATTATATAATTAATAATTGTATAGAAGATCGACTTACGGCTACTTTAACTTTATAAAAATATTGTAAGTTATGATTTAGTTTTATAAAAAAGATAACGAAAAAATATTAGTCTCGCTGAGTTTCTTTCGGCAATTCCTTTCAGGTCTCACGCTTCTTCTTTCCGAACTGGTAGTATAATCAAAAATTGTAATAATTTATGCTGAATAAAATATTTTGAATTTTGATTGGAATTTGAGATTCAAATAATTTTAAAAATAAATGATATCCTAAAATAATGCTATAATTAGATTGACAATTAGTATCTCGTAGCCCGCCGTAGCGTCGTAGCGTCGTAGCAGCGGGCACGTTTACGGCGTGGTGCAGATTATTTGCTTACGAAATTAAGCACGTTGGATCGATTGTTTTAATAATATTGTTTTTGCGAGTATTTGTCCTTGGATACGTTTACTAGTTTTATGTCATAACTAGCGACTTATAATAGGGAAGCCCAAGATGGGATTTTGTGCGTTACTCGAGCGCGTCAGAAAATCATATAGGAGAAACCTTGCACCCTGTAATGTACCCCTACCATATTGTATTGTATTGTATCAGCCTTTTTAAAGTATCCACGTACGTTCCACTCCTGGGCACGGGCCTCCCTCTAGTACGAGGGCGATCAGGCCATAGTCCATCACACTGGCCAAGTGCGGGTTGGCGGACTTCACATGACTTTTTGAAAACTTGCTAGGTTTTTGGACTGTTTTTTTTCCATTTTTGACAATTTGTACACGTTCTCCCCGTATAACTTATAACTTAACATTAACATTTTTTCGTTTTAGAACCTAATCTTCACAATCCAATACCCAATAGTATCCATGACGCTGTAGTAACTGCAAATTTAGTATCCCAGGCTCCCCTACCATTACCCTCGGGTCGCTCGGTTTGCTTGGGTCGGGTCTGCGTCGCTAGGTGTCTTTTTGCCATACATCTTTTGCTTTAGTAAAACCGTGAATCAGCGCATACCAATAAAACAACTCTACGATCAGTCTTTTTGTGAATTCAATTATTATGATTGCTAACAACAAACGCGTCTTTATCAGAATAAAATAGCTTATAGCATTCGACGATAATATAGCTCCTATTCGTGAAGGAATTTTCAGATCGGATTCATTTGTTTCAGCGATTAATCGCTACATACCTAAACTTACAACCAGCACCACTTTATAATATTATATTAATATTAATCTATGCATATAATAAAATTGTAACTAAGTCGAATCTGTACATTAAATATTTTTGGAAAATCTAATTGAAATAGAAATTATTATCGATACAGAGTCTGACTCTATACTTTTTAGAATTTTTGTTTGTTTGTCTGTCTGTCTGTCTATCTGTTACCGCATCACGAGAAAACCACTGGACAGATTTTGATGAAATTTGGTATAATGATAGCTGGTTTTCCGGGTCAACATATAGGATACTCTTTACCGCGGGAAAATATCTCATTTCTGAGAAAAAATACAAAAACTGCATTGTAAGAGTATACTAACATGTAAAACCTAAGAATTTGGTTTTTGGTCATCTGAATGCGGGCAGAGCCGCGAGCAATGCTAGTAATTAATAATATTAAAAAAGTATATATTATTACAATTACGCCTCACATTCATTTCTTCCTACCACAGTCGGACGGTGTTGTGGAACGATCTCTTCACTTAAAGTTTTCCTTTAGCGCTACAATATAGAGCTCAGGTGCAGCGATTTCGAGATAAAAATTATGAATTAAAGACACATTACAAATCCAGTTACTTATTACAATCGAAGTATGGAGAAGTGAAAACGTTTCGTACTTTACATATATGTACACTACATGTATGTCATGTTTTTGAGTTTAGCACATAAAAATTTCGTCAAAAGTTAAAAAATAATATAGAAATTCGATCACTGAGTTACTCATTTTTAATATTTTAATTTATAATTGCTACCTTTCGGTACAATACAATAGGTCAAATGTGAGCGTTTGCTCTTTTAAAAACTTAAACATTTGCAAAAGTAATGAAGAGTGTGAGTAATCACTAAAGGACTCGGTGTTTCCCATTGAGTACTTGTCAAATTTATAAGAAAAATTCTTATGGTTTTTTTTATGTTTATTATTTAGCTGTGCACATAAGCTATATGGATAAATATCATAATGTAACCTTTATTTTTGATTAAAAATTACATCATACTCTTTTCGTGTTATATAAAAGTATTAAATCTAAAACGATCATTCGATACCGGAATTTTACATGTTACTAAAAACCCACCCTTAAGGAAAACTTGGCGTGAATCATACGCCCCTGAGCTATATAAGCGAGGGTTTCTCCGCCGCTCCGCAGTCGCACTCCTGCTGCAGCGGGGGAGGTCGCTCGTTCAAATGACCAACTTTTTACGTAACTTACTCGACCACAACTTTCCTACGTGAAGGTAAGTCATATAATGTAATTCAAATTAAAAATGTAAGCGTGTATCAAAATAATTGTACAATTTTTAATCTTTCATTGTTTTAAATTAATTAAGTTAAAAGAACGATATAAACTAATAAGTTTACCGCATTTGCTTTTAATATTTTTATATCACACAATTTCTTAGTTCACACGTTACTATGCGGATAAATTAATAGAGGTCACTAGTGCCAATATAAATTAAAGTATGTAGGCTTATGGCCAACTTTGTTTCATTCATGCCACTGGCGACTTGAATGCAGTAGATGGACCCCAGTGCCGTCGCCCGAGACACTTGATGTTGCTATCTTAGAGTAAGGGCAGAACATAATGTTTCGCTTTGTAAACAATTTGTGGTAACTTTGCTTCTTTGCCATTTGAAAATATGTTTTCAAAAGTACTCAAATGAACAAAGATCTTTAACATAATTATTGAGACAAAGCCAGGAGAAAAATGTAACAAATTCCTATGAACTATAGAAATAATTAATATTTTTAATGCATTTTAAAATAAAAGTGATGAATAACGACGCATTACATTGAACATTAAATGTTCATGCCGCAGTAATCAACTAAAATTAATTAAATTTAAGAATCAATCAAATTGTATTGTAGCGCTCTACGTATTGAAGTTCAGTTAATGTGTTCAGTGAAAAAGTGCAGTCACTAGTTTAAAGAGGACAAGCAACAAACAAGCTTTGAAATGAGAATTAAGTTAAAAAAATATACATATATATTCTAGTAGAGCGGTTCTCTAAATCTACGTATGTATATTTGCACTTCCGGCGCGGCTGCTGCTGTATAAATACTCGTCAACTAATAACAACTTAAGTGACCTTCTCTTTAAAAACTATTAGTTAAGTACTCGTATAACTGTACTGTAACTATATAAAGTTATCTTACAGTTGTATAACTGGACAATTGTCTAAACTCCGAAGCCAGCGGCCTACATATATATCTAAGGCTTATTACAGTAACATTGAATAAAGCTTGTGGTGCACTTACCAGTATGTATCTATTAATATATTAAATATAAGCAAAGTGAATATTTTCCTAAACTATATAAAATAAACACTTTTGTAACGTGATTTTAGTTTAAAAGAGAATTTTAAATATTTTTTTGAAGTTAAGCTAGAATTGTTAAATTTAAAAATATAATTGCTCCGTGTTTCATTTTCTTTATTTCTATTACAAAACTGGACTTTCTGACTATCGCGCTGAGT